GCCTGCCCGCGCCCTCCGGGCTGACCGCCACGGGGGTCCTGGCCGCCCTCTCCCCCGCACCCCGCGGTGTTGACCGGCCCTAGGGGCCCTAAGGCGCAGCTCCCTGTGTCTTGCAGTGTGTGGGGACATCCATGGACAATTCTTCGACTTGATGAAGCTCTTCGAAGTGGGGGGGTCCCCTGCCAACACGCGCTACCTCTTCCTGGGGGACTACGTGGACAGAGGGTACTTCAGCATCGAGGTGAGTGCAGGCGCCCCGCGCTGGGTCTCCCCAAGGGCCGGCAGTCCGCTGGGCGGGGTGCAGCCGGCCAGCGCCCGCTGGGCTCCTGGGGTCACGCACCCGTTTCCCCACGGCGAGAGGCCTGACGGAAGCACAGTTGCAGCTTCACGAAAATCGCACCCGTCTGCGCTATGCCAGAGAATCCGCTTCCCCACGGAGAGGACCTGTCAGCGTCGGTTACCGCGTGGGGGCCAGCGGTGCCGCTTCACCTGAGCAGGCGGTGCTGAGGGGCCGACAGTGCTGAGGGACCAGACAGTGCTGAGGGGCCAGCGGTGCTGAGGGGCTGGCAGTGCTGAGGGGCTGGGCGGTGCTGCGGGGCCGGCGGTGCTGCGGGGCCGGGCGGTGCTGAGGGGCCAGTGATACTGAGGGGCCGGGCGGTGCTGAGGGACCAGACAGTGTTGAGGGGCCAGCGATGCTGAGGGGCCGGGCGGTGCTGAGGGGCCAGCAGTGCTGAGGGGCCGGACAGTGCTGAGGGGCCGGACAGTGCTGAGGGGCTGGACGGTGCTGAGGGGCCGGACGGTGCTGAGGGGCCGGGAGGTGCTGAGGGGCTGGGCGGTGCTGAGGGGCCTGCAGTGCTGAGGGACTGGGCGGTGCTGAGGGGCCAGCAGTGCTGAGGGGCCAGACGGTGCTGAGGGGCCGGACGGTGCTGAGGGACCGGGAGGTGCTGAGGGGTCGGGCGGTGCTGAGGGGCCTGCAGTGCTGAGGGACTGGGCGGTGCTGAGGGGCCAGCGGTGCTGAGGGGCCAGCGATGCTGAGGGACTGGGAGGTGCTGCAGGGCCGGTGGCCGGCGGCCTGGGGCTGCGGCCGGGCACCCTCCGCTGGGCGCAAGCCGGCTGGGCCTCTCAGCACACGCGTCCTGCTCGCGTGTCAGCACCGGCCTGCGGGTCTGGGGCCTCACGGGAGCCTCCCCAGGCCGGTGACCGCTGGGCCTGGCCTCTCCCACATCACCTGCCACAGTTAACACCCAGAAAACTTTGTCCCGCTGCTCGCCTGACGCCACGGGAGGCGATGACCTTGCTCATCTACTGTTCCTCAGTCAGCGGACGAGAAACGTTCCCTTTGAGGAGGGATATCGGGCTCGATCTGAAGGCCTCGGTGTCCAGTGTCCGACCCGGGGGGCCCCGCCGGGCCGCGCCTGGCAGACGCTCCCTCCCTCCCGCCACACCTGGCTTCCACCCCCACACGCTGAACAGAGCCTTATTGTTTGGGCGGCTTGAGCCAAGAATCTGCAGGTGGAGTCTTGCCCTGCACCCCCCGCCCCCCGCCCTGTGATTCACAGAAAGGAGAACAGAACGTCCCTAAACCTCCCCGGATCTGGCTCCTCGCGCCCACTACGCACCGAGGGCCGCCAGACGTGTCCTCTGACTTAGAAGCTGCTGGGCGTGGCAGGGACACCCAGGCGCTCCCTGGGCCGCTGTGAGGGCGGGTGCGCTGGGGGCCCAGCTGAGGGCCAGGCCGGAGGGCGGCGCCGGGCGGCCCCAGCCGGAGAAGGCCGTGGTGGCCCCTGGGGCGGCTGGGCGGGCGGAAGGCCTCTCACTAGAGCGGACACCGCTCTGCCGTCAGGCGAGATGTTGCTTCAAGAGTCTGTCTGTCCACGCCTGGTCCAGAGGACACATCCAGAGTAACGCCATTCGGATACACGTGTATTCTTTATATTAAAATGCGGCCTTACACGTTTTACGCTAAAAATCATCCACCTGTTGGTATTAAGTTTATAAATAAATATAAACAAATTTCTCTGAAGTGGGAGACAAATATGAATGAGCTAGACCCCTGGAAGTGCAGCTATAAAACCAGAGACGCTCAGTCCCAGAGACATGCAGAGACCCAGAGAGACGCTGAGACCCGAGACCAGACCACCGATCTCCGCGCGGAGCCCGAGCCTGCCCCGCAGGCCGGGCACTGACGGCCCTCTGGCCCTCAGCTCCACCAAGCGCTCTGACAGGAGCCTGTGCAGCCGGCAGCCAGACACAGTAACAGGCTCTGCCCTGTTTCTTCACCCCGTGGGGTCCCCCGGGAGACAGGTGTGGCCTGAACACACGCGCGGCCAGCGCCCAGCTGGGCTCAGACTCGCTGTGTCCTCCCTCAGTGAAGGGTCGCGGCACCGGCCCGGGGTCTTCCTAGCCAGAGCGCTGTGTCTGGGTCAGTCCTGGCTGTCAGGGTCCGCTGCCCGCCCCGCCCTGCCCTGCCCTGGACCTCAGCCTCAGGCAGGGAAGGGCCTTGGGGGCGGGGAGCTGCTGGGTGTAAGGGGAGGGGCCCAGAAGGCGCGGGGTGCCCAGGCCTGCTGTGGGGAGACTGGGGGTGTCCGCTACCCGGCCAAGCCCTCAGGCTGCCGCGTATCAAGGCGCCCACCTGGCGTCCCTCTGCCCTCTGCTTAATGACCTTTCTCTTGTGCCCAAACAAAGCCCTCCAGGCCCCAGACCCAGAGGCCAGCGGAGGCAGGTGGTGGGTGCGAGGCGGGGAGGGGCGGAGGCGTCGCGATCCTACCCCGGCGCCAGCGTGGCCTCCTCTTCGGCCGCCCTGGCCCGGCCCAGCCCTGTTCCGCCGTTTCTGTGCTGACCCCGGGAGCGACCCAGGTGGTCAGGGAAGCGCGTTTATTTCTCAGCGGTGAAGCACGTCTGTCTTCACCTCCTCTGTGCCCCACGCGGGTTCTGCATCCCTTCTCAGAAGGTCAGTTTCCGGTGGGCGTGGCCTCCGCCCGGGCGTTTCCTGCACGGTATTTCCGCGTGGCGTCAGCGTTCCCCGCGTGACGTCAGCGTTCCCCGCGTGACGTCAGCGCCTTGCGCTCCGACCGGCCTCTGGTCACCGGGTCGCCTCGCGTTCTTCTCCCGCCTGTGAGCGCGGCGGTCGGACGGCCCGGAGGCGCGTTCATCGTGTTCTTTGTCCGCAGTGTGTGCTGTATTTGTGGGCCTTGAAGATCCTGTACCCCAAAACACTGTTTCTCCTTCGTGGGAACCACGAGTGCAGACATCTAACAGAGTACTTCACGTTTAAGCAAGAATGTGAGTATCCGCGCGCTTCTCCCGTTCGCGTGTGCCCAGGGCCGCGGTGTCCCCCCCCAGCAGCGTGGCCAGCGTGGCCGGGTCCCCCGCGGCCATGCGCCGCCCCCCATGTAAACAGCGGGGGCGTGAGCGGCGCCCTCAGAAACGCGGGGCAGCGGTGGGGCGGCCCCTGTGACGGCCGTTGGTGGCGCTGGAGTTCGCAGCCTCGGAGAGCCGCGAGCCCGCCCGCACCCTCGCGCCGGCTGAGCCTCCGCCCGTGTGCGCAGGTAAGATCAAGTACTCGGAGCGCGTGTACGACGCCTGCATGGACGCCTTCGACTGCCTGCCCCTGGCCGCCCTGATGAACCAGCAGTTCCTGTGCGTCCACGGCGGCCTGTCCCCCGAGATCAACACCCTCGACGACATCCGGAAAGTAAGTCCCCGGCGGCTGCGCGCTGCCCCGTCCCAACAGGGGCCTGAGCTGCGGCCTCTCCGCCTCTGAAGCCCGCTTGTCCTGCGGGTCGTCTGGGCGCGGTGGTCGGTGTCCGGTTTCCCAGAAACGCCTGTCGGCTCTCGGCTTTTCCCAGATGGCAGCGATGCTTTGCCTCCAGAAAATACCCCAAGTTGAACTTGAATGTGTTCTCAGGGTAGCCCTTTTCAAAAAATCATCTGTTATAGCCTAAACCTTTAAAGTAACAATTTAACATTTGCTTTTAAAAATATATATTTATTTATCCATACAGAGCTGGGGTACAGGCCAGAGGTGCAGGGCGGTGAGAGGCTTCCCCAGAGACAGAGTGGGGAGCAGCTGCGCCCCGTTTGCTTTTCCAAGAAGTGTTTCTCTGCTCAATTTCCCGTTGACTGGGACTGTCGTTCCAGCAGAGGAGGGGACCGGCGTCCACACTGACCACACCATCCTCCCTCTCTGCGGCTGTGCCGTGATGGTGACTGCAGCCACAGAAAACAACGAGGCAGAGTTCTCCAGAGCTCAGTGTCTCCCTTAGTGAGGAAACCCCAGAGGGAGCCAGCGACGTCGCTATTTACTCCACTTACTTTAAAATAGTATTAGCCAGAGCTGCCGCAGGCCGGCCTCGCCGTCCCGCCGGTCCCACGGCCATGTGCCCGGGGCTGGTGTCCCGCCAGCCTGCCTCGGGCCACCTCGGGCCGCGACACCGGCAGGGCGGCGGGGGGCTCCCTTGTGCTTAGCGGCCCTGGGCGCCGGGTGTACCGAGGAGGAAGGCGCTGGGCCAGTCCCGCCTCTGGGCTCGGGCCTGCCTGTGACGCCGCCCGGTGGGGCTCTCGGTGCGCCCGTCCGCGCGGCTGGCAGCAGGAGCCGTAGCCGCGCACGGGGCCTGGCTCAGAGCCCCGGGGTGCCCCTGGCTAAGGAGCGGCCGCGTGGCCTCTCCCACTTCCCCAGACTGTGGCAGCGTCACGGCCAACGCGCTGGCACCGCCTGCCGGGCAGCCACCCCCGCTGCCCGCTTCTCCGCGTCAGGGAGCTGTTTCCCTGAGCTCCGCGGGGCAGGACATGGGACTCTGGCCTCTTCCTGCGTCTGTGGTGATGGGGCAGCGGCCAGGCCGCGGGCAGGGCTGCAGGGACAGACGAGGCCAGCGGGGCCCACTCTGCGGCTCTGCTGGAACGGGGAGCGTGCGGTTACCCCCAGAGGACAGGTCCATGCGGACTCGACTGAGGCGGCACTTCAGTCCCCTGCGCAGAAGGGACCCGCCCGGGCTGTCCGGCAGAAAGCCCCGGGGGACGAGTGGGGGGACGAGTGGGGCGAACGGCGCCCTGCGGCCGGGTGGTCGTCGGATGGGCGCGCCGGCGGTCCCCGCAGCACGTGCTCCCGCCTGGGGTCCCCCACCTGCTGGTGGCGTGGGGGCTTTGTTTGCTGTTGGCTGTCAGCTGCCCCGTGGGAGGGCAGTGAGGCGTCAGCTCGGCGCTGGCCCAGCGTCACCAAAGTTGAGCTCCGGGTGCCGTGTCCCTGCGCTGCTGTGGGGAGCGGATGCGCGATTTGTGGTGGAGCGCCGGCCAGGGGCACGCGTCGGCGGGCCCCGCTCTGCCCAGGCCTGCTCC